AGACCACTGGTTTCTCCCACTGATGACCCGCTGGCAGCGGCACCAAAGCCTGACCGTCAGATGGACGGATAACTGTGGGATCTGAAAGCGGGGGGGGGGGGGGGGGGGGGTCAATCGAGCAGCCCTGTGGTGATGGCACTGCCTCCTCGGTGGGAAGGAAGGGGCCCCCATCAATGCAGGCGGCAAAGAGAGCAGATGTGTCCGGCGGGGTGAATGGCAACCCCACCCCACCCCTCCCTCAATCACATGAGGTGTCCTCTGAGGGGAGATTCATCACGGAAACCCCTACCATCCACACCTCCTCGTGTCCCACCCCCCCAAACACAACAAATCGGTTTCAATGACGACACACCATAATCCACTCTTCGCTGGTAAATAATGTACATATGGGGATGTATGTAAAGGTGGGTCCACAGGGACACTGGCCCCAGCTGAAAGGTGATTGGCCTCCCTCCCCAGTCATTCACCGATTCAAAACATATTATTGGCTGCTAATGATGAGGTTAGCTCCTTTTTTATGAATGATAACCCCTCTTTTGCTCAGAATCTTAAGAAAATAGAATTGCCTCGGCATCCACGTGGAATAAAGGAATGGAGCGGTTCAGGGGGGGTCCCGGGATGGTGGCGCTTGGATGATGAACATGAGGCGATGACATCCAACACGATGGATTAGCATTTATCTCATTGTGTCCATCAAGAAAACCCCCTGTTGGCACCTTCTCAAAGGGGATCACACCCCCCTAAGGAGACTCCAGGCACACATCGCCCTCACATGGACGAGGACGGACATGCGCGCGCTTTTTCGATTCCCCTCGCTTTCTGACCTGCGAACTTCACGTGGAATTTGTTCTCGGGTTTGAGGATCTGGATGTACAGGGGGCAGTTGGGGGCGAAGTCCTTCACTGCCCAGGCTCTCAGGATGGTCTGATGATCCTACAAAGTCAACAATGAGGTGAGATAAATCACAGCCGGAGTAATTAGCTCCAGTCACAGCCTCCATAACTGCTAAACGTCGTCATAGTAACGCTCAATGCCTTCAGCTGCCATTGAATTCAAAGCCATTGGGTCTATTCACACCCAAAGTCAATATTTTTGATTCCAGCTGTAATCAAGCCCATTGGCTCCTGTAGCAGCTGATGCCTCAGTGTCATTGGGTCCAATCAAACCACATCCCTGACATCAGAGTCAGTAACTATAGCACCAATCAAACAGCTACAAAAGTTGCACAATTCTACTCAGTGCTAACCATGGTTGTCGCTACACCCCTTTTCCTGGGGAATGTGGCCCAGCATTTATGTACGCACAGTAAAATGTCGTTCAGCTTTTAAAAATCATACGGGTAATCAGGGGTGGGGGTCGTGTGTCCCAGTAGAGCTTTATGTCTAACAACACCCCAGGTACCAGCTGTAATTATCTGACCTTTTCATCCCAAGGGTGCGACGAGACAGAAGGACTACAAAGTGGAGGGGGGGAGGGAGGAGGAAGGAGGACAGGATCATCCTCAGAGAAACAAAAAGGTGAAGAGAGGAAAGCAAATAAACAGAGAAAGGAGACTCGGGCCACCTACAGCGGCGATGCGGTCCACTTCAAATCGGTTGCTGAGGATAAAGCAGGCCTCCGCATCGTCCATCCTTCGGCCAATAGCGGGAGGAGAGAGGAGGGGCCATGGCGGGAAGGGGCGGGCCAAATGTGGTAGGTTCACAGGAGGACAGTGGGGGGTGGAGTTAAACGGATTAACGAAGGAGGGGGAAAAAAAAAGAGGGAGAGCCCAGGTTAGTCCATGGTGAAAAAGATGAGAAGCCAGATAAGTGTGGTTAGTGGATGAGAATAAGGAGTTTTCAGGTTAGAGGGACAGGAAAGTTGGGAGGGTTAGTGAGGTAAGTGGAGCGGAATAGAGTTATTTATGTCAGTGGGAATAAACAAAATAAAAAAAAAACTTATCAGACCATCAGATCTGACTTCTGACTAATGGGGTGCAGGAGTGGACATTTTATACTTATTTGGGAAACTCACACAACGTTTTGGATGCCCACACAGGAGCAGCCTGGGTTTTAGAAGGGGCTACTCACTTGGCCCTCATCAGATCCTGGTCCTTGAGGGCAGAGCCCTGCAGGTAGATGACCCTCTGGGCCCAGAGCGGGATGTGCAGGACCCGACGCACCTGGGCGTCCATCTCGGCTGGGCACAGGATCACCACGTAGTAGTCCTGCTCAGGTATGCTTGGAATTAGAAAGCGAAGGGCAACCAGCCTCCAGCACCCTGGGGGCAGCTGGGTCAAGGGTCTTGCTCTAGGGCCTAACAGTAATATGATTACTCTTCTGAATATGGGATTCAAACCCACAACCTTCCATAAAAGGGCATATAGATCATTAACCCTTCATCTACCTGCATCTGTCTGCTTCCATTCAGCTTCATCTCAGTTATTTAGTTGAAGCTGGATTTGGATATGAATTCAGACACTGAGATTTACACATAAACCAAAGAAAGATTTTTTTTTTCGTAGAAGAAACCTGCCTCGCTACAGCTGTCAAAACTCACGAGTGAAGCGCCTGGGCCGGCTGTCGCCGTGGGGACGGACCTGCAGCCGGGGGTGGGCGTAGAACTCATTGAGGAAGTCCATGAGCAGGTCGATCTTCAGGCAGCTGACGCACAGCACCACGTGCTTCTCCGTCTGCGCCCGGTACCGGCTGTAGTTACCGCCTGACTTCTGGCGCTCCATCCAGAGGAAGGCCAGCTGCTCGAACTGGGGGGGTGGAGAGACGTGGGGACAGATGGGAGATGGAGAGAGACAGACAGACAGGGGGAAGGACAGCAAGAGAGAGACAGACAGGAAAGGAGAGGGAGAGACAGACAAGGGTAGGAGACACAGACAGACAGGGGGAAGAGAGAGAGATAAACAGACAAACATGGGAAGGATTGAGAAAGACAGACAGGGGAAGGAGTAAGAAAGAGACAGAAAAGGCAAGGAGAGAAAGAGAGATGGACAGGGGGAAGGAGAGAGAAAGAGAGACAGAGAGGGGAAGGAGAGAGACAGAATGACGGGGAAAAAAGAGACAGAGAAACAGGGAGAAAGAGAGACAGATGGGGGGAAGGGCAGAGAGAGAGAAAAACCAAGCATGAGAAAGTGTGAATCAGGCAAGGAGAAGAAGTGTGTGTGTGTGTGTGTGTGAGAGAGAGAGAGAGAGAGAGAGAGAGAGGGAAATCGTGAGAGAGACAGACAAGGGTGGGGATGGAGAGAGAGATAGAGGGAGAGGGGAACAAACAGGGAGAAAGGTAAAATCAGAGGGGGGAGGGGGAGACAGAGAGAGAGAACGGGGGGTGGGGAAGGACCACCGTTATATAAGGATGAAGCATGTACTGAAGCAGCATTAGGATTTATACTGACTGCCTGTTCTATTAGGACGGATGCGTAATTCCCTGCTATTTCATTTACCTGCATCATTATTTAATTACTGCTATCTGTTTATTGTAAATTACAATGCCAATAAAAGTCCATTAACCGAAGGAGAGAGCAAAATCACAGTGACTCTGTGATTAGTACTTTTCTCAAACTGCAAGCCTTTTTAACGGAAAGTTACTAATCAGCAATCATATCCGGGGGGAAACGGATAACCGTCATTAAATTATTCAGTTATTATTACCTGTAAATTTGATTTAAATGTTGAAATGTCTTAATTGGATCATCACAGTGGGTAGCACAGCTGCTGCACACCTGAAGGGTTGTGGGTTCGAATCCTGACTGCTTGCATGTTCCCCTCATGCCTTGTGTGTGTTTTTAAAGACATGCAGTTATGCTAGTTGGCGCCTCTAAATTCCCCTGTGTGTGTGTGTGTGTGTGTGTGTATGGCTATAATTAGCCATATTAGCATCCCATCCAGGGTGTGCCCCTGCCCTATGCTGCCTGGGATAGGCCCCCCGGCCCCCAGGCCCCCCTGACCAGGATCAACGGCTAGAAACCGGATGGACGTAAACATTTCAATACTTAGTACAAGCATTTCATATTTAGCAATAACAAACAACAGTTCTCTTTTATTAATTTTAGCACTTCTGAGTGTTTACAGCCTACCATACGTGACTATTAATAATTGCCGCCATTAAGTTAAGTGTGTAAACATTTTCCTGTAATTATAGTACTATGATACATCAATGTCCCGCAAGCAAAAAAAAAAAACATGCGAAATCGAACAGGAACGGCAAGTGAGAAGAGACAGAGAGTGAGGGGTGAGTGGGGGGGGGGGCACTCTTTACTTGTCATTGTAGAATAGAGGGGGGGTATTCAGTGGCTGTTTGGGGTTGCGGTGACCGACACTGTTCGGGGTGGTATAAAATGTTCTGTGGGCTGTAATGATTTCAGACAGGATGAGGCGGGGGGTGGGGGGGTGAAGTAAATGTCAGAGACATTTCCAGATGAAAGTCAGGGAGCTGGATGGGGGGGTCATCCTGCATCATCCAGGTGGCACTTCCTTTGCGGCTCAAATACGACCCCGTGGTGGTGGTGGTGGGGGGGGGGCCTTCTATTTAAAAACTGAAACACCCCACCGCTTAGTGGGATCCGGGTCAGATAAGTCGACTGGGGGGAGGGCAGGGGGGGTGCCAGAGCACTGGTAGTACTTGGACTGATGGTACGTTAAGAGTTGCGGTGAGTGGACAGCAGGGGAGGATGGGGTGGGGGGGGGGGCAGGGTTTGAGATTAAGAATCCAGCATATGGCTGTCAGCATCTTCATATTCAATAACGCTCATTATTACACAATCATGGCCAAAGCATTCATTTCTGCTGCATTCCACAGTTAAAATATTCTACCTTAAATATTCATCAAGCTCTGCAAAATTGAACTCGATGGTCAATAACTGAGAAAGAGAGCTAATGCTCTCTAACCACACCCTAAGGACACTGGTATTAATTTAGCCGATGCTTTTTTCCAAAGGGATGCATGATTGAGAAAGCAGGGCCAGCCAATCCCTGGGGCAAACAGGAGGTAAGGGCCTTGATCACACTGGCAATTGGAGGATTTGAACCAGCACCCTTCCAATCACAGGTACAGCATCCCAACCCACTGAGCCATACAACACAACGCTGAGAAAAGTTGTAGGATCAAACAATAACAAGTGCCAAAGACCAGGGTGGGTGTTCAACAAAGCAAGATATCTCATTTAGCTGGTTTAACTTAAGTTCGTTATGATTGTCCAATAACAGTTTAGGTAAGGAGCATTCCTATTGGATAATCATGACTTCTAGCTTAAGTTAACCCAGCTAACTGAGAAATCTTGCTTTGTATAACACCCCCCAGATCCTTAACTCCAAATCTGTGTTTCTTAACCCAGTTCTCGGTGACCACCAGACTGTCCGTGTTTTTGCTCCCAACACACCTGTACCAGGTATTCAGCATTCTTGATCGTTTGGTTCAGGTGTGCTAGGAGCTGGGAAGGAGTGAAAATGTGGGCTATCTGGGGGGTCCCAAGGACTGGGCTGAGAAGTACTGATCTAGGTTACTCCAATAAAAAATACTTCTGTGAATACTTAAATGCAAAACTGAACGGGAGTGTTTGTAAACGGGACTGAAGTATCTGTTAGGAATTAAGCACTTTTCTGTTTAGCAGGCCGGGCGCTAGCAGCGAGCCCACCTGGATGGGCAGGACGATGAGCGCCACGCAGATCATGATGAGCACCAGCAGCTTGGAGGGCCAGATCTTGGGCGTGACGTCACCAAAACCCACCGTGGAGAAGGTGACCACACAGAAGTAGAGCGAGTCGAACAGGGTCAAGTTGTTCCCTGCTCGCTCCAGGTGCTGGATCCCGCAGATGCTGTGAGTGTTTTCGAGATGGGGGGGGGGGTGTAGAGAGCTTTGAGTGTGAGAGATGTGGAAGCAATGTGTTCAGATAATCTTGGTGTTAATCAAACTTCACGCTGGTGTTGGTCTCTACGGGCAGCATAAAGGCTGCCAAGACTCTCTACATCTGCCTCAGCCTAACCCCTGTCCTAGGCCCAGCTTCCATGGATCTGGGTCACATGATTACATGACCACTGGGTCACATGATTACATGACCACTGGGTCACATGATTACATGACCACTGGGTCACATGACCTCTCAGCCGCTGTCATCTTTTCATGCACCATTTGCAAATGCACTTTCTGCACAACAGGATATCTCTGAAGTACCTTCCAATCGATTTGCTAATTTCTCCCAATACTGATTCCTGTTATTTCAATTTTCTCTGCAAATCATTATGAACGGCTTTATCCCAGACTTACTTTTACAAATGTGCCCCAAATGGTTTTAAGTAAAATTTGTTAATCAGTGGAATGCTAACTGGGTTTGGAACCAGAGATAGATATTTGCATACTTACATGAGTGGGTACATGGAGTGCATCCATATTTCGTCAAAGCTAATTTGAATTTGTCTGTGTCGATGTTTGACTATGCATGACATGCAGACGCGCACGCAGACGCGCACACAGACACACGCGCGGCAGTCTGGGTTTGTGTTATTAAGTGTACGTTCCAGCAGGCTAGCATTTGCCAGTGTATGAATAGGGATGCATGTGTAGGTCAGCTAGCGTGTTTACATGTGCATCGGAGCACGTACCCATGACACAGAGCGTATTTGCATGCAATCTGAATATGCCGTGTGTGTGTTTGTGTTCCGGAAAGGTCTGGACTGAGTCGAACAGCGCTGTCAGATGTGAAAAGGTCAGGTGTCTTATCTCTGTTTCCCCCGCTCCTCCACCCCGTGGCTCTCCTGGGGCGCTGAATATGTTTTTTTTCACACAAAACAGGGGACTCCCTCCCTTTCATCTCCCCCCCCAACTAGACCCCCCCCCCAATCTCTCACTGCCTGCTGAAAGGAAGCTCAAGGCTACACAAAAAAAAAAAAAAAAAGAATTTTCAGAAATAGATACCCTCTATTTTTATACCATGGAAACTTCTAAGAGCAGCAAAAGTCCATGGGACCCTATATTAGAGGGTTGGCGTGCACACCTGACAGAGGAAATACACATCTGAATGACCTTTAACCCCCCCCCCCCCCCGCCCCCTCCTAGAAACACACCAGGTAAACATGAGGCAGACCAGCGTGGAGACCAGGATGAGGACCTGGTTGAACATGGCTGAGTGCGTACGCTGGATGGCCCTGTGGAGGTCATTCTGAAAGGGAGAGAAGGAAAGAGGGAAAGGAGGGAGGGAAAGGGATAGAGAGAGAGCAAGAAATGGAGGAACGATAAATTGTTTGTTGAAGAGAAAAGGCTCAAATACCCATCTGCATTCATTAGAGAAGTGGAGGAAATCTGTCCACAATGGGGGGGGGGGGGCACAGGGCAGACTGGCAAAATTGATGTGGTGCGGTTTGGAGAATTTCACTGAAGGGCGCAGGTGAATAGGGAGGGGGGCCAGGCAAAGGGAGAGATCCAGATGAGTTAGGAGATAAATGAATGAGGCTATAATTGGATTGGGGGGGGGGGGGTTATAAGGTGGGGACCTTGAGGAGGTTCAGTACGGGTGTGTTTGGGTTCTGCTCACAATCATGTTCTCCAGGGCGTGCTTGGCGAGCCAGCAGTTCAGGAACACGGGGATGAACAGATTTCTGAGGGAGGGCAGACACACCTACAGAGAGGGGGAGGGGGGAATGCGGGAGTCAGTGATGGATGAAGGGAGCAAAGACAGCCCATAATTGCACTCCATCAGTGCTGCGTGAATACTGCGTTAAGGCACGCGTATTTACTGTAACACTCACGCGCTCGTTCCACGTTCGGCGGGAGTACAACTCACCGTGACGACAAACGGAACAGCGCTGATCATCTCCAGGACGAACGGGACCCGCAGCACCTGCTCCCACACGTTGCCCTGGAAACACAAGTGGGGTAAGAGGCAGTTAAAGGTCACAGAGTGGGGGGAGGGGGGTCAGCCAACCTCGTCTATATCCTGGAGAATCTGGAGGCGGTAAACCAAACCATCCGGACGTGGAGCACATGAGCGTGATCGAGGCTACCAAGTGGTCTTGTTATAGAAGACAACTTAGACTTAGTACGTTCGATAAATCTCACGGCTCGACTGTCCTCGTGATTATTCATCCACTGGGCGAGGCGGACTGGGCACGGCTGATGTATGACTGAGTTTCCTGGGCGGACAGATGCTTATGCATTTTCTGCAAAAAATCAATGAGGTTTTGCCCCAAAGACTGGCTGCCTGTCACACTCCCTGATGACCGAGAGCAATTTTCAAACTTCAAAGAGAGCGCAGGACAGAAGAAGCACCCGGGGCCCACAGACAAATCCTGCCCCCGCTGTCTCTCTATGCCAGTGTTTCTCAAAAGGAACTGGCAGGGAGGTGGGGGGGAACAAAATTATGGACTGTCTGGGAGTCCTTGAGAAACACTGGTCTATACCGACAGCCTGAGGTCACCTCCATTTGTCTACAAGAGCACCGCCAGGAAGGCGTTTGATTTGGAACGTTCTACAATTCCGGCCCAAGATGCCGCGCGCCATCCCAAAGAAGATGTGGACGCACGGCTGCTGCCAATAGTGACTTCCTGCGTGCTCCGCCCCCCCCCCCCCCCCCCCCCCAGATGGACGTCGCCTGACACCTGCGCCCCTCACCTTGTAACTGAGGTACACGAGTAGCATGGTTTCCAGAAAACTGATGAAGGCCACGAGCACCTGGAGAGGAGCAAAGGACGAGGGGAGAGGGGAGACGTGAGCCAGGAAGGGGGTGGGCAGAGATTCCAGGGGGCCCAGATTCCTGGGGGCCCGCTAACTCACCTGGAGGGCCCAGAGAGGGACCGGCCTGTTCACCCAAATGATGAAGGACCTGGGGGCAAGCAAAATAAAAGCTCAGTAAGGGAGGGGTGAAATCCCCACACTGCCACAATCCACCTATATTTCAGTTCTCCATACTTCTTAATAAGTGTAAAAAAAATCTCAAGGTATCATGAGATACTGCAGACCGAATGTCTGTTCTTCACGTATTAAACCAATATACTGAGAAGAGTAAAAAAAACACACCACATGTATTAAAATCGCATCTGTGCGCCAACTTTCATATCTATAGTACCTGCTATTTAAACATGATGTCTCTGTTGGAGGTTGACTAGAACATAAAGACTATATGTTTTTGTTCACACATCAACACACACAGCCATTTTTTTTTTAATAAAGAGTGTAACAGGAAACTCATATTACAAAAGCGAAAAGTGTAGTTCGGTGGGCGGGCGTGACGTAGGGCCAGCAGGGACGGACGCATGAGCAGTTGATTCTGAGAGCGGTGGGTCCCTCGCCGTTGCGGAAGGATGGACAGCATCTCTTGCTTCAGCTTGATGTCAGACACCATTAGCCGCTAACCTGGCTAATCTACATATTTATATGAATATGTTTAGTCGTCAGTCTGATGCAGAGTGAATTTGATTTCAGTCGGCACAGTAACGGGGCCGCATCCAGGATTCAATCCCACAACCTTCCGGTGTCAATGGACAGCCACCTTAACTTATCCTATCAGTGGGACACGGCTGAAAATATCTCAATCTGCTTTAAAGGCACTCTGGGGAGCAGAGGAACAGGGGGGGAGAGAACCCTAGCACAAGGAGCAGATGCCCCGTTTCTGTTATCCGGCACATGTGAACAGGAGCGTTGAGGTCGATTGAGACCAGGCTACTTACCAGTCAAAATGGCTCCAGGGATGTGCAGAGGAGTTCTGCTTGGGGCAGCTCCAGCTGGGAACGGGGTAACAGCGACAGATACATGTCAACAAGCTGCCCCGGCCTTGCTCAGCCTGACCCTCCTCTTCAATCGACATCCAAAAATCTCATCTGTCACTCGACCCCTCCCTCCTCGCACCCCCCACCACCTTACCATCCACCCCTACCCTCCCGCGGGTCATCAAGCAGCACGCGGATGATGTACAGCAGGCAGCTCAGCACCTTCAGGGAGAAGTTGAACAGTCGCACCCTCAAACCTGCGGTGACATCCGACAGTTAACCAACAGCAAACAAAGCCCCTTCGAGACAGAACCCCCCCACCCCCTCAACACCGACACGGCGCCATTCATTTCGCCTAATAACCAAGACATACTTCACCATATCGCATTCGAATCCCGGCACCCGAATGATACTCACTAGATCTTTGGTTCTTAATGAAAAAGAGCTTCAGGCGTTCTTTGAATGTGTTCTCATTCACATAGAACTCGACCTGCACCCTACGAGAGAGGGGAGAGAGAGAGGACCGGGAGATGGAGGGATAAATGAAAAGGTAACAGAATGGAGAGAAAAAGGGAGGAAGGCCAGAATACAACTTGAAGCAGCACAATAATTCAGCAAATACCTGGGGGGGTGCATTAAATTTAAAGGATATAGCGAAAATGTATTCTACCTCCTGGCTCCAACCCTCCAACCCTTGTTTATGATGCGCCTGTGTAGCTAAAATGTAAATCCAACTGGATTTCTGTTTCCGGCTACTGTGGCACTGTGTGGACAGACCCTGTCAAAATAAATAAACCCAGTATGCACNTTAGAAACTTTCCATGGGAATTAACGGGAAAGTATGGGAATTAACAAGAATATTCCTAGAATTTTGCAACCCTAGTCCCTGTTGATATAGATGATTTGGGAATTGTGTTTATCTCATGCTTATTGTCTTCCCCAGGTTTCCCCATGCACTCAAGTCCCAAACCTTACACACACACACACACCCAGACCTATACGCAATTTGCACCCAGTGTCATTGTTATTAAATTAAGGAGCCTGTGTGCCTGACTTGGTCTTATTATGTATGTGAAGGATCCAAGGGGCCGACCGGTGACTCAGGGTTATTGAGAGAGAAAAAAAAAGAGCAAAAAGAAACACAAATTGAATATGTGAAAGGTCCCTGCCGCTGCGTTTAAGGGGTCGCGGGGGCAGGGGAACAATCCAATTTGCCAAAATGGTGGGGGAAGTCTAAGGAGCACGGCTAGAGCCGGCACACCACCCGCGCCGCCCCGGCGACCGGCAGCCGATCGCCACGTCGCCATGGCGACGGCGCAGCGTTCCCCAGCGGATGGCGTCTGCCCGTTTACGATCAAGCACGCGGTCGGGACACACACTACGAGTGCACTTGCAAAACGCCCACGCCACGCTTGCATCGGCGCCCCCGGTGGCTCATTTCGAAACGGAGGCCTTGTGATCAAACTGTAAAGGGGGTTGATTTGAGGGGGAGAGTAATGACCTGACAAAAGTGAGAGGAAAGAAAATCAGGCGAGAGGCCATTTAGCAGGCAAACAAGCCACCTGGGGGGTGTCTCGCCACTTCGGTTAAAGAGTCAAGGCGTCAGAGCGAAGCTCTCGCCTCTCAGTCTGTCATGCGAACCACAGATGGTCCCCGGCCACTTCGCCCAGAACATCAAAGCATTATATCATTCGTTTTCACAATGCTACCGCGCAGTGTGGGATCGGCATCCTCACGTCGTACCGACGAGTCGCCCGCGGTTATCCCGTGAAAACCTGCTGGCCACGTTGGTGCCCGTCGGCCCGAGAATTCGGCCGGCCTTCCGCGGCCGGCGGGAATGCATGCCTTCGGATTCTTGCACACACACATGCAGCGAGTGAAAAAGGTGGGGGAAAACATCTACTTCCTGCCGTCCCCTTCACTGATGTGGTTTTGATTGTGCGAGCTTGTGTTGTGGGGGGATGGTGCATAAGTGAGACCTGCGCATATCTCTGCACCAGGAAAAAAAAAATCATATGTAATTAACAGGCATTAGGGGTCAATGTGCTTTAACGGCCGAACGAGAGGCTCCTGTATTTGTCCTGACAACCGAGGTCGCTAATGGTATCTAATTAGCGCGTTACGGAGCAAATTACCTGCCGTTGGTAATATTATAAATAACCATCTGATGCAGCCAGATTCACCGTGGGCAGTGAAACCCCCCCCCCC